ACCACCCAGAGCAGCACCCCCACGCGCTCAGTCCCGCCGTCAGCTCTGTGCTAATTCTCTGCAGAGCACTTGACCTCACTTGCGTGTGCAAGCTTGAAACCTCAGGAGGCCAGGATCGCGCTCATTTCCCTTATAAATAGTCTGTGCTCTGCAACGGCCCCCTGTCCCGCAACTGAACTCTTGACCTGCCTCGGAGCGCCAGTTGAGCACATCTAACGACCCGCTAGACACCTTTCCTTCCACACCTCAACCAGATCGGCGTGAGAGCGAAGCACTGCGACGTGCTGAAACCGACATTTCCTCTCACCTCTCTCTGCTCGAGGTAGCCAGGTCCTCCCAGAGCCTACGAACGATCTCGCTCGTCTTCTCCTTCACCCCATCACTGGCCAGCTCCTGGGGGCACTTGGTCATGTCTCCACATTCCAACTCTGGTGCACGGCAGAGTGTCTCTCTCTGTGTCTCTGTCTTACAGGTGTCTCCTAGCTGGCATCCAACCTCCAAAGACTAATCCTAGCAACTGAACTGAACAAAACCACACCTTTCTCCTCACTCTTACCCTTGAAAGGGTTTTAACTAACCATAAAACATGAGAATTTAAAGAAGCGCCAGAGCTAGAAAACCAGTGTAGCTAAGCCTGTCTGGCTTTAATTTTACCCAGGCCCCAGCCTAGTGTGTAGTCGGTAGTAAACTGACCTGCCGTGGTGGAAGCCACAGGGCTGGTGGTGGGTTTGGATCCCTGGGTGGGCCTGAAACATGCAGGGCAGGTGCACGTGTGTATGCCCAGGATCCCGATGGGCTGGAGGCTGAGGAAGGGGAATTCTCTCTGAGCATTCTTTTTATTTTTTATTTTAGTTACAGGGCACGTGTGCTCACCACACACACACACACACACACACACACACACAGAAAGAGAAAGTGTTTGTCACCCCGCAGTGAGAGACAGCCACCCTGCAATTGATCTCTTGGCCTCCATTCTCCTCTTGAGATTTTGGGTTTGCACACTCACATGCTGGACATGTTTTCTTTTGTTTGTTTTTCAATTCGTCGGGTCTGGGACTCAAACTGTGCAGTCAGATATGTGGGACCCAGCCACCCTAGTCACCACGCCGCGGGCTGGCCTGAGGGTGCTCCCTCTCATGAGTTAAAAAAGAAGTCTGTCTGGTGAACAGGGAGCTCACCTCCAGCCTCCTCCACGCCTGGGCAGAGGAGAGGGGTCAGCCCTGCCAGCTGCCCCTGGCCTGTCTCCTGGCCCGTGGTGGATTTACATTTCAATATGAACGAGCTGCAACTCAATCACATTTTAAACCATCAGTTTCTCAGCCACACTGACAGCGGGGAAGTGCTCATGGGCTTTAGTGCGCTCCGGCCAGGGCGGGTGAGATGGTTTCTGCCCCTGTGGGCAGCTCTGCCCTGGACTCCCGGGACCAAGTCAGGTTCATGTGCCGCGAGCTGCTGGCACGTGCTGCCAGGCTGCAGCCCCGCCCAAGGTCCCTGTGGCTCCCACACTTAGAGGTCTGGGGAAAGGAGGGTCCTTGCAGTTCTCCCCCTCAGAAGTTTGAACCCGGGCTCCTGTGGGAAGCACTGGCCGCCCCTTCACCACCAAACTGCCATGGCTGCCCCGAGACACAGGCTTTCCATGTCCACATAGGGCCTTCGCCTTCATCCGTGAAGAGGGGAAGGAGGCAGGAGGAAGGACAGGTGGCAAGTCTGGGTGTAAATATGGAGAACCTGAGGGCCGGCTGTGATGTGTGGCTAGGGCGCATGGACCCAGTGTGGTCCACTGTGTGGTTCAAGTCCCAGACCTGGCGGCTTGAAAACAATGCAAGGCGCATGTGCACGTGTGCCCGAAATCTCACAAAGAGGGAGAAATGGAGGAGAAGGGGTTGTGGCGTGACCACCTCCCACGGGGTGCTTTGTCACCTCCTGTCTCTCCAGCAAACATGTGTACCCTCTGGCAAATTAAAAAAAAAGAAAAGAAAAGAAGAGAAAGAGAAGAGGAGAGTGCGAGACACAGAGGACTAAAGCGGAGTCGGTTTCTTCTCTGCAGAGATTACTTTGGACATGGGGTTGATGGGGCTGAACGGGAAGTGTACAGGCCTGGCCCTCCTGTGGCCCCTGCCGCGCAGCCAACGTGCGCCTTCTCTCCTGACAGAGGAAAGACCGGCTTCCCGCCCATGCAGGGCTCTGCACGGACGGCATGCGCGAGGCCGAGCTCGGCTCCCCGGGGGGCCAGGGTCTCTAGATGCCCTGCCCCATGGCTCCTCTCTGCACCCGGGGGAGGGCATGTGTGGGGAGCACGGGGCTTGGCAGGAGGGGCTCTCCCGCATCCACACGTTCACTCCTGCCTTCCTCTGCCACCCCCCACCAGCCTCGCCCCACCTGTGTGGTGGACAAGTGGTGTCCCCTGGAGCTCTCACCTGGGAAGAGAGGCCGGAGTGCAGAGAAGGCGGTAGCACAGCCTTTCCTCGGCCCGGGCACGCGCTTGCTCCTGCCTGGCGCTCCCCAAGGCCCTGCTCCAGTGCGTAGGGAGGACACCTCACCCCTGCCCAGAGCCGGGCAGAAAGCCCCAGGGACACTTCCCTCTCACGAATGCCCGTTTTGCCTGTGGTTGCTGCTCAGCTTAGAGCGGGTGAGAGGCCTGAGCAGAGGCCGTCTTATTCGCACCGGCCCGGGCTAGGTGAGTGATCTTCAGGAGCACTCACAACCACCCTTCCCTGGGGCCGATGAATCATCCAGGCCTTTCGTTCTGACTGTCACCACCTCTCCCTTTCAGATGGGCTCTTTGCTGTCCTTTCTTCATGCTCATGGTCCCTGGGCTGCCTCCCCTGCCTCCCGGTGCTCTGGATGGACTGATCGTTCACTAGCCCTGTCTGGGAGGCCCGCTCTGCTGCAGAGCATCGCCGAGTCCCTGGGGTGACAAGTCCACCGAGGCAGCTAGCCTCCACTGGACTGCAGCTGTGACTGCCCCGAAGGGACCTACAGGCGTCATGACGACAGGGACAAAGGGTCTCCAGTCCCATCAGATCAAAGGCCCTGCCGAAGCTGTGGATAGGAGGGTGTCACCTGGGAGCTTCGCTAAGACAGAAAACTGTGTGTTCAGACTTTTCCAAATTTCTGTGCAACACCCATAATGAATCAAATGAAATGCAGGGTCGGCAGGTGGTGTGGTAGTTGGGACGTTGGACTCCCACATGGCCAGCCATGGTTCGAGTCCTGGACCTGGCGGCTTGCTTTCTTACTTTCCCTTTCTGTCTCTGTCTGGCCAAATCAAATAATAATAATAATAAATACAGTTGAATAAAATAATTCTTAAAAGGTGAAATGCATGATCAGCCTTAGTAATTTGAGGTGTGAAGCTTACCATAGTAGCTGTGGTTTTAAGGCATCTGGGGGCCTGCAGAGTGCCATGTGTCCCTCGCTATGAGCCGACTTCCTAAAGCAGGGCGACCCAGCAGAGCCGTGTGCGAGGGCCGTTGGGGTAGCCACTAGCGGCCTCAGGCGAGTGGGTGCTGGGAGTGTGGCGAGTGCGCGGAGATGCTTGTTACCATCTTAACTAGAACGTCCAACGGGCACGCTCGGCCAGCAGCCACCGTGCAGCACAGAGCAGCAGGCAGGGGTCCCGGCACCTCCGTCTAAGCCTGGAAGGCTCCCTTGCTATGAGCCCAGCTGGGGTGGTGACTGTGTACAGGCCTGCTCAGGTGACACCACCCAGGAACCGTGTCCCGTGCCCCTCTGGTGAGCCTGGCGAAGCTGCTTCTCTTCATGGCCTCAGGCTCCTCAACCCCGTGGGCGCCCGCTGTCCACTGCCTCTCTTTTCTGGTTGTGAATGATTGATGCTGAGGTTGCAGTCGCTGTCTCCCCACCCTCCTGACACCCCACCAGTGCCCAGCGCCTGCCTCTCATTTCTGGTCGTGAATGATTGATGCTGAGGTTGCAGTCGCCGTCTCCCCACCCTCCTGACACCCCACCAGTGCGGCACAGGGAGGGGGGCGTGGCTTCCTCCCCGCCGTTTTGACCCGAAAAGATCCTGAGGTTGCAGTCGCTGTCTCCCCACCCTCCTGACACCCCACCAGTGCAGCACAGGGAGGGTGGCGTGGCTTCCTCTCTGCTGTTTTGACCGAGGAACCACCTGCTCAGAACTCGGAGGCCTGCCCTCAGCTGAGGCACGCACGACCCGGCCCTTTCCAGGACGCCGAGACCAGTGGGGCCTGCCTTCCTCTGCAGCCGTTGGCACTACCCTCCACGGTGAGTGTCACCTTCCTCCTCCTCCCCGCCCAGTGTCACCGTGCCCTTGGCCATGCCCTGCCACAGTGGCCCCTAGAGCCCCGCTCATGTGTGGTCGTGGCACCCAGCACTTTGCTGACAGCTTCCAGGGAGGCCAGGAATTGGTGGTGTGGCTCAGGCTTCTTGCCAGTGAGTAACAGACTCATGAAGCGCAGGGGCAGGGCAGCCAGCGACTTGCAACTCAAAGGAGCGGGAAGCGGGCAAGAGGGTGGATGGGGGCAGCGAAATGAAGCCCCCACGAGGCCCTGGGTTCTCAGGGACTGCCCCATGGAAAAACTCTCTGTAGCAGTTGGCAATGAGCTATGCATTTTTGCCCCAGGTGGGCAGTGATTGAATGAATGAATGAGGATCCAGACCATGACGTGGCCGCAGCCACTCTGTCCGGCGACCAGGACTGTGTTGACTGGGCACGGCAAGAGGTCCATGAAAGCTGGTAGTTAGCAAGACAGAATTATGTGCAGTCTAGTTTCCTCTCCATTAAGTGTGTGTGTGTGTGTGCACGTGCATGTGTGCGTGTGGTTGCATTACAGAGAGAATGGTCCGAAAGCCTGGAACTCAGAAATTTCACGATGACCTCACTAGGAATGGATGCTGGAGGGCTCGTACTTCCTTCAAATGTTCGCAGTTTTGCGCTTTGTGGAAATACTTCTTTACGGTCAGAGCAGAGCAGAGCTATTCGAAATGACTCATCAGTGGGTCCTCGTTTGTGCTTTCAGCACACCCCCAGCCCCTGGCGTTCCCCGCTGCTTCTCCCTAGATGCTGGCTGTGGCTGGGACGCGGGCAGGGCTGAGCTGGGAACCCGGCAGCAGGAAGTCAGCGCCAGCCTCTCTTCGGTCCCCTTGCTGGACAAGCCAAGCCAACAAGCAATTTGTGGGGGCAGTGTCGGAGCCCCTTTCTCAGCACCTGTCCTCCTGTTCTGCAGCCTCTCAGGTGCACCCCTCGCCAGCGCGCCCCGAGCCTGGCGCTGCACCTGTTAGGCGGGGGGAAGGTGCCTAACCCAGGCTTGGTAGGCGATAACCCCGGAGCTCAGAGTCCCACCTCCATGTAGGGAACAGAAAGTGGAGCTCCGTGAAATGTGAGAGGTGATCAAACCTCTGGTAGCGAATGGGAGGGAGAGCAAGGCTAGAACCGTGCTCCTGACTCCCGTTGGTGTCACCTTATTGGGCTCCTGGGAGCACGGGGGCTGTGGTTCTGCGCATCTTGGTGCCGGTTACGTGAGGACAGGAGAGAATACAGCACGAATGGCTGGCGAGGAATGGCTTCCACCTCACTTCTCTAACCTGTGCTGTTTGGTGCTTTTCACTTTCGTAGAATCAGCAGCTCTCCAGCGCTTTCTGGCTTTCATGCCTTGGTTGATGTTTTCCTGTCCTAGAGCAATGTTTCCTTCCCCCATGGCATGTTCCCATACTCTTTAGCCTTTGAGAGTCAGAAAAAAAAGTCACCTCCTCTATGAAGCCCTGTAAGATTTTCCTCAGCACTAGAGACATAACTGCTTCTTCCAAATTCCTACAGTCTCATAGCATTGCAGACAACAAAAATGATATTTGCAGCCATGGCCCACCCACTGTGCTTGAATTTGAGCGTCTCAAGGATGTGGGTCACGTTTTACACACTGCGCAAGCCAAGCAAGTGCCTCAGCACGTTGAGTACGTGAGCTGTGGAATGAGGTCTCCTGCGTCCTCACAGCGCTCTCTGCGTCCCACAAACAGCATTCCCACGGCGCTGAACTTGACCCTCGCAACAGCCTTTGGAGCAGGCCGGGCATCGCCCCTTTTTCAGACAAGCAAAGCAAGGCTCGGCGGAGGCCTGCCGCCTCTTGCCAAGCCCTCACGGGCAGTAAGGGATGGGCCAGGGTGAACAGGGGCTTTGACTTCTGATCCAGTGTGTTCCTCCCTTCTCCCCCAACTCCGTCTACACTGCAACAACACTGGCAGGCTTTTCTGATTGGGTGGCCACAGCGCCCACGATGAGCCACACGGAGCAGCGAGGGAGGGATCTGGGTCAGCGCTGAGGCAAAGGCCGGCTCACAACCAGGAGGCCATGCAGGTCCCTCGCTCACAGAGTGTCTTGTCAAATGTGGGTTTCCCCCCGTTTTTCCTTCCTTCTCAGCGGCGACAAGAAAATGAAAGCATGCTCCGAGACCTCGCAGCTGGAGGAATGAAAGGTTCAGAAAGGGCCTGACAGATTAAAAACGAGACAGAGAGGCCCTCGCGGGGGAGCAGGCTTCGTTCTCCCTCTGGTCCTGATCTCCTGTGGGCCAGAATCACATGCGTCACGGGAGGAGGACACACCTTTATGAGAGGCTAGGGCAGGCTTTCAGGTTGCAGAAAGGACCGTCGATTGGACTCTGGACCTGCTCTTCCCCTTAGCTGGTTTCCACGACAGCGCCCCCTTGGACGAGTTCGTAAACAAGTGTGCTGAACGGAAGAGAACGGGCTGCTGACAAGTTATTTTTACGACCGCTCTTAAAATGAGATTTCACACACTTGGTGCAGTCTTCAGCTTGTAGCTCTGGAGGGACCGTCCACTGGTCATCGAGGTTCGAGCTTCTTCCGACTGTTCCGGTGCTGACCCGCAGCGCAGCACGTATGCTTTTCGTATGTATTTCAAAGGGCCCACCAGCTGGCCCCTGCACCTCACGCCTTCATCTAGCAGTCGCGCCAACCTGTTTCCTAGGGGCGCGAGGCCTGTCTGGTCTGTTTACTGCTGTGGATTTATATTTAGGTTTCCAGTTCTCTTGCTCTGCAAGAAGATACTGCGCTACACCTCCCCGCGCTTGTACCCTTGTGTCATGTGTGTGCGTGCGTGTGCACGTGTGTGTGAAAGGACAGTAGGGCACATTCCCAGCGAAGGCGCTGCTGAGTCAGAGACACGCTCTGTGTATTTCGACAGTTTGACACACCCCTCCAGAAAGGTCACCCGGACGCACACTGCCACGAGGGCGTGGAAACCGTTTGTCCAGATGCCTACCAACATCGCTCTCCTCACCCTAAAGCTGACTGTCACCAATAAGAGCAAAAGCCATTCTTTTTATGTTTCGTGACTTCTCTACAGAGTTTTCTCAGGTGTTATCGGACTGGTACTTGATCTCTTCGTGCAAGTAAAAAGGAGGCATAAGCCCAAGGCACTAGAATACACGAAGCGCGTTCTAGCTGATGTTTCGGAACACAGTCTCCCTCCTAGCCAGCCTGCAATAACATTGAAGTTGGCAACTTAGGGCCCCCCAAGTCAAGCAGGCGCTCTCCATGTAGTAAGATAATGACAGTGACAATGTAATAGCGCTCAGACCCAGGCATCTGCTTTCCCGCTTGCCGGATGGATTTTCCATCTCAAAATAGAGGCTATGGGGCTTCTGGATGATCCCTGGAGTGGTGCTCACCGGGGAAATTCCAGGTTCTGTGCTTAGGAGGATAAGGACAGAGTACAGCTTCCCTGGGTGGGGGAATGCGCCTCCCACTCACCTGGGAAATATGTCAAAACAACCCCGGGAGGAAGCTGGGGAAGAGACAGCCGTGCAGCACGTGGGAATGGAGACTTACCGCGGTCAGGAAGTAGGTGAGGAGGGCCCACGACGCTTTGATCCAAACCATTGTTTTCATTTTGCCCCAGGGGATTTATGACAGGTCTTCAAAAAGCTTATGAAAAAGGCATATTATGCAAAAACTATATACGGATTTCAAAAAATCTTTTGTGGGACCAGCGGATGGCCCAATGGTTACGTTGCTGGACTCCCACATGGTCACTGCGGTTTGAGTCCTGGACCTGATGGCTTAAAACTCATGCCGAATGCGTGTGTGTGCCCGTGCCCCACGTCCTGAGAGGAGAATCAAGAAGGGATTGTGGTGTGGCCATCCCCACCCTGGAGGGGGGGCGACTTCTTGCCTTCTATCTCCGTCTCTCCAGAGAGCGCATGTGCTGTATAGCAAAAATCACTAAAAAAATCTTTCGCACCAAAATAAACTCAAACTCGCACTTACCACGAGCGATTTCGAATCACCCTAGTACTGTCCCTTCTACGCACGCGTGCCAATGCTAGCCTGCCTTCACCACTGTCTCTGCTCTTGGCACGGCGAGCAGGGCTCTCTCCTCTTCCACTTCTGTCTGTGTCCTCTGCTTCTCCGTGGAGCCCCGGTCCCTCGACTGCTGTAACCCTGGCTGCCCCGACCCAGCTAGTGGGAGCCCCCCGAGGCGGCCCTGTGTCCTTGCGATCCTCTGAGCACATCCTTGTTTTCTGGGGCCAAAAAAGCTCTTTCAGGCTTATCTCGTACTTTTCCGGCCCGCTCTGGTTCCAGACGTTTCTCCAGGGACTCCCGGCTCTTTCTGGAGGGGAAAGGTGGCCAGAAACCCAGGGCTGGGCACCGGGTGCTCATCTGCTGTGCACCTCTGCTCTCTGGCCACTCAGCCCCGCCACAGGTAACACACCCCAGGCTGCGGGGCTGGCCCCCAGGCCCTTTCTTCAGGGCTTCCTTTTCCTGCTGGAGTCAGGGTAAAGATCAGAAAGGTGCACTGGAGGCCCTGTGCCTCTCCGCAGAGGGACCCCAACATCAGCTCACACCTCCCGCCCCGTGGCCCTCCTGGCTACCCGGAGGCCCTTCCCCGGGGCGTGCAGGACCCAGAGGGTCTGGAAGCAGCCCTGTTCTGTGATCTTTAGGGCGTCCCCAGTGATAGACTGTGGGGGCTGGGAGCCATCCTGCAAAGTGGGCCTTGCCAGAGCCTGAGCGAGGGAAACAGCTGACGGAAAGAGCCCTGCACCCGCGGGCTGGGAAGGACGAAGGCGCCTGCCCGTTCTGCACCCCCGGGTGGGAGATGGCTCAGCACTGTCTAAAAAGAAAACAGATACTAGAACTGGGTGATGGTGGTGCGGAGCAGATAGCACAGCGGTTACGTCACTGGGCTCCCACATGGCTGAGCACGGTTCAAGTCCTGGACCCGGTGCCTTGGAAATCATGCTGGGCCGTGTGCGTGTGTGACCAAGATTCCAGGAGGAGAATGGAGGAGAAGGGATTGTGGCATGGCCATCCTCCCTGGGGGGTGATTTCTCACTTTCCCTTTCACTGTCTCTCTCCAGTGAGCACACACACCCTAAAAACATAAATAAAAAAAAAAAAAAAAAGAAAAAGAAAAAAGAAAGGAAGAGAAGAAAGAAGAGGCCTGTGGACCTTGGGAGTGGTCTCTTCATTTCCACGCTCACAGCCAAGACGAGCCTGAAACCGGAGAGCCCGACGTGAGGGAGCGTCTCGCGGCCTGCTCTTGCGGCTCTGCCCCAAGGAAGCATGTACTGTGTAGCCCCACACTGGCACCTGGCCGTGAGCGCCCCACACTGACACCTGGTCGTGAGTGCCCCACACTGGCACCTGGCCGTGTACATCCCACACTGACACCTGGCCGTGTACACCCCACACTGACACCTGGCCGTGAGCGCCCAACACTGGGACAGGGCCGTG